AGGCCCCTGCCCCATTCCCCGCCCCCCTGAGCCAGCCACTCCCTGCCCTGGGGCTGTGTGGGAGCCGGCACCCCCCCAGAGGGGACAGGCCCCTGCCCCATTCCCCGCCCCCCTGAGCCAGCCACTCCCTGCCCTGGGGCTGTGTGGGAGCCGGCACCCCCCCAGAGGGGACAGGCCCCTGCCCCATTCCCCCCTGTGTTGTTTGCAGAGTGCCGGATCTTGCTGGGCTCTATCCGGAGGAAGCATCTGGCCAAGCTGCTGTCTGAGCAGCTGAGCACGGAGAAGCGATTCCAGTATCTGCTCAGCCAGTCCGAGGTGAACAGCCCCACCCAGCCCGAGTCCCGTCTGCCGCCCGCCCCAGAGGTGGGCGCATCTCCACACTGGGCGAGGGGTCCCTGGGGAACCAGCCGCCCCGCCCCAGAGGTGGGCGCGTCTCAGCGCCGGGCGAGGGGTCCCTGGGGAACCGGCCGCCCCACCCCAGAGGTGGCTCATCTCAGCAGCGCTAGGCAAGGGGCTGGGGGTTGACTCAGTGACTTTCCCTTGCAGCTGCTGGGGACAGACGGAGCTCCGGGGACCCCAGAGGAGAAGCCAGGTGAGCAGGATGGGGGCGTTATGGAGTGGGGGGCACATGGAGTCTGGGGGGGACGGTCTGGGATGGCGGGGGAGCGTCAGAGGCTGGGGGGTGGCGTGATCTGACTTGCTCCCACCCCGTGTGTCTCTCTCTTTCCCAGAAGCGCCGAAGATTTCTACTGAGCCGGGCGACTGGGAGACATCCAAGGAGGAGGTGCCGGGGGCAGGGGTGGCGGGGAGGGGGCCCCCGTTTGGGAGGGTGCAGTGGGGCTGGGAGGATGCATTGATGAGGGCCTGGAGGGGAGCAGGGGGACCCATTGGTGGAGGCATGTGGCTGGGAGTGGGGGTCAGGGAAGGGGAGGCCCATGGATTGTGGCAGGGGAGGGCTGGGGGACCCCCCAATGGTGATGCTGCGGGAGCTGATCTGTGCCCCCCCCCTTCCCCAGGAGCGAGGCACCCAGCTGTCTGTCAAGATGAAGGACGTGTGTCACTTGGTATGTCGGGGGCAGGGCTGCGTGTCCGTGGGGACCCCCCCGGTACCCGGGTGGGGGGACCGTGACCCCCCCAGTCATCCCCCAGTCTGCAGGGCGATTGAAGGGGCCGGGGGGGTGTCACCAATCTCCCCCATATGGGGGGCGGCGGCCCCAGACTATCGGGGGTCAGACTGGGAGGCAACTTCCCATCCCATGTCCTTGTTGGGGTGTTCCCAGAATGCTTTGCGCCAGCTGTTTGGCATGAGCTGATGCAAAGGACCCTGGGAGGAACCCTGAGGGCGGGAGCAGAGCAGGGCGGATATTTCCCAGGATGCTTTGCGCCTGCTGCCTGGCGGGGGCTGGCGCCGATGACTCTGGGAGGACCCCAGCCAGGCGGATCTTTCCCAGGATGCTTTGCTCCGGCTGCAGGTGGAGGACTGGGAGTGCCAGCAGCTGCAGGAGCCAGTCCGGCTGGAGGAGCTGCCCATCGACCCGGCCCCCTACCGCCTGCTGGAGAAGGAGACCCTCTACCAGGTGGGTGCCTCGGGGCGCGGGGGGTCCCGCCATATCGCTCGCTCGCCCTTTGCTCTGCCTTCCCAGCATGCTTTGCCTGCCGGCGGCGGGCACAAAGGATGCTGGGAGGCGGCTGCAGGGGATTGGCGCAAGGGATTCTGGGACCCGGGAATCTCCTGCCAGGACTCGAGTCTGGGTGCCACCTCCGGACTGGCTGGGCGGGCTTGAGCAGACCTCTGATTGGTATGAATTTGCATATGCAAATAGGGCCATCGCTGGCATCGGCAGCACACTCGGGGCAGAGCAATTAGGTAAAATGATGTCTGCAAATGTGCCAGCCGCTTATTTGCATTCGCTTGGGGGTAATTCCTTCTACATGTTGATAGAGATTTGCATATGCAATTAAGGTGGGCGGGGTTTGGGTGAATTTGCATGCGCAATTAGTGTGCAAGGCGTTGGCACATCAATTTGCATGTGCAATTAGGGGCAGAGGGGCTGGTAGGGTAATTTGCATATCGAATTAGTGCGGGAGGAGTTGCAGATGAATTTGAATATGCAATTAGCCCGACCTGCTCATTTGCATATATGCAATGTGTGAACAAGACCTTTGCATCTCAATTAGCGGCTGCAATGGGGTGGGGCTCATTTGCATACCATTATGGTCCATGTCCCCCCCCCAAGGGTCCAGCTAATGCCCCCCCCCCCACTCCTGGGTGCCCTCCATGGCCATGTCCCGACCCCTGAGCCCCAACCCTGATTCTGAGCCGCTCCCCCCAATATCTGCCCCCCTTGGTTTGACGTCTGCCCCCCCATTTCTCTGCACCCCCCTCTACAGTGCTATGACCTTTTCAACTTGCTGGGCCTCCGGACCGCCTATGTCACCAATGTGGGCCGGCTGGTCGGGGTGGTGAGCCTCCGAGAGGTAGGGTGGGGGGGAGATGGGGCGTGTGGGGGGCGTGGGATGGGCTGCACAGGTCGTCAAGCAGATCAGAGGGGTCACAGGGGGTCAGGGGGCAGGGAGCTAGTGGGGTCATGCCGGGGATCGGGGGGGGGGGTCAGGGAAGACATGGGGGTCACAGTGGCGTCAGAGAAGGCATGTGGGGAGAACCTGGGGGATCTGGGGTCAGGGATGATGTAGGGGTCACAGGGGGAGCATTGGGGTTCAGGGAAGTTGAGGAAGGAGGCGGGGGCAGCAGGTGGGGGTCGTGGATCAAATTGGGGGCAGGCGGGCTCAGAGATTTGGGGGTGGGGGTGTTCCTCACGCACTATCTCTGCCCACCCCCCACAGCTCAAAGCCGCGGTGGAGGGGTCGGTCAAGGGCACCTTCGTCAGGGGCCGGCCCCACAACGGGGGGCAACGTGAGGGGGACCCGGACCCCAATGGAGCCTCGGCCTAGCAGGGATCGGAGCATCCGGCCTACCCCCAAACCCGGATCGTGAGGGGGGGCAGGGGAGAGAAAGCCCCCCCAGCGCCCCGTCTTTTCTCTCTCGCCCCCCCCCGCGTCCCACCTCCAATACCCCCCCAGTAACCCCTAAATTATTAACCCCCTGTTTTCTGGAGCTGCCCCCCCCGAACCCTCCCAATCACCCAGTAAAAAACGGGTTACATTTTGTGTCTGTGGTTTTTATTCCCCTCCCATTTTTCTAGGGGGCTGGTGGATTAGAGCAGGGGGGGCTGGGAGCC